AGGTCATCGCTATTGGGTTGGAGGCCAGCACATGGAACAGTGCAGAAGAAACTCTATGGCGCACTTTACGATCGCCAACGACCCCAGGCACCCCAGGGACCCCAGCTGCCTCGGCCTGGCGCTGCAGATCAAAGCCTTGGGGCCACGTGGCATCTGGGAGCTCCAGAAGTTCCTGGACGAGCTCCTCCGATCGCACTTTTGTTCAAGGTCCGAAGTGAAAGTTTGTTACTAGTAGCTTCTTGCTCCTAGTAGTAAGGCCAGGAGCCCCTAGTAGCATCCTTGCTCCTAGTAGCGATGCCCTTTGCTCCTAGTAGCGATGCCCGTTGGAAACCTTAAAGAGTTCTGAAAGCAAGGCGGAAGAGCCTTCAATTCTTCCCTGTTCCCGCGGATCAAAGTTTGATGGCTCCTTGGACTCCATTTTGGCAGCCTCGTCAAACGCTCCGACCCTCACATCTAAAATCAGTTGGCATGCAGCTAATGCAGCTCCAGCCTCTTCCTCCGCCATCGCGTCGATAAAACCGGGATGGCTCGGCCAACAGAAACTTTTGTCTTTTCAGTGAGTAGTTGTGTCTTGCTGATTAAGAATTCCTGGGTGACGTGCACTATCTTAGTTGAGACAATTTTCTACCTTCCTGACCGGTGAGAGTCTCTAAAACATGGTATTATCTTTGAGCCTTGCGGCTTCGGGAAAGGATGGTGTAGGTACGAATCCCAGAAGCAAAGGCCATTGGCCAAAGCAATGAAGTTCACAAGTCGGACGGATTGGGATGGATGCACCTTTCTCACCTGTGGCAGCTTCAGCCATTCGGGCTGTTGCAGATCCTGGTCCGAGTGGCTGCTTCAAAGTTCTCTGAACTGCGAAAGAATGTGTCGTTGCAGAAGAGCGTGCGGCTCGTAGATCGAAATCGCACAGCGAGTGTCCAAGGCCAAGGGGCCCAAAACAAAAGGGGCCTGAAGTCTGTCGTTGTCTATTCGGAAGTGGAAGCCCTCTCTGTATATGGTGATGACCTCCGCCAAGGAAAACTCGGACGAATCACTGCGTGTCGCTATTCGGGCTGACTCGTTACTGCCTCAACTAATTCACACATTGCCAGTGAGAGCAGGGGGTACACATTGCAAATTTGGACCACCCTCCGCACCGGGAGGGGACCAGCAACGGAGAAGCAACGGGAATGCCTTGGCGATTGAGACAATTGGCGTGGTTTCTCTTTGGAGTGGAACAAGGGACCCGAAGGATTATGATTGGACAAATTTCAAGGCGGAGACTTCAACTTGCCTCTAAAATCTAACTACCCATTTGTTTGACCAGCAGTTGTTTCCAAGATTTGTCCGGACATTGTTGTGTTCAGAATGTCCCTCCACTTCTTGCCATTGGGGGCGAGACTCCTCTGCCTCATCTGCCTCCTGACATCAGAACTATTCAACACACCAAACCGTTCACCCGGCAAAATGCCTGGGCACCCTCAATTAAGAGCAGATCTCCCGGCCTGAGACCATGACGCTTAGATTGTTGAAGAGTTTAATTTAAGCAGATTTGAAAGGCTTCGTTTCACTTTGGAGGTTTTGTTCCCAGTGTGGCCAAGGTAGCCAAGGAAACTGCGTAGGTCTGTCAGTGTATATACTGTACAGTGTAGGGTATGCACGCGTGCATGTTTCTCTGACAGCTTCGCCACACAACTCGACTTCACACGCCGACACCAAGCATGATTGACGCCACAACCCACACTGCTCACCAGCGTGCAAACGTGTTTTCCACCGAGGCCTCACTAAACGGCACGGCCCAGCGACATCACAAATGTAATTTCGCCACGCCCTTTGCCACACGTACTAGACAACAACATCACGAATGTAGCGCCGCCGCACCGTCTGCCGCATCTGCTACCCCCCGCAGGTCCAAAACAATAGAAACTCGAAGTTGCAAACGGCTGACAGAAGCTGCTGGCATCGCGTCAGCGCTTCCTAACCCTAGCGTGACAACGTGCCAGCGCGCGACCCATGCCAGCGACGACACAACAGCGTGACAACATGCCAGTGTGACAACACGCCAGCGGGCCAGCCTGACAACACGACGGCAAGACACCGCGCCAGCGGGACGGCCAGCGCGACGATATCTTAGCACGCATACATGCTCATGGAGGCACTGTACACAACACAACACGATACAGCATACTGACAACACCTCAACGCGTCAGCGAGACAGCGTGTCAGCACGTCAGCACAAACGGCGCGCGAGCACTGTGTCACTGGCAACATGCGAGAATGCAGCGCGGCGGCGCGTCAAATCACCAGCATTACGCCCTGCCAACGTCAGAACCTGCTCCAGAACACCAGAACTCCTGACGGCCCTTAGCAACGTGGACCAGCCTGGTCGCGCGCCCATTCAGCATAGTTCCAGTCATTGCCACGGGCAGTTGTCTTGCCGTTAGCAATAATAATGGCCGTCGTCCACCAGCTTTGGCGACTGTGGGCAATGCGCCAACCCTCTTCCAAAATTGGCCACCGGTACAAACCCACGCCGCCGATCTGGGCTACGTTCAGCAAGCCCTCGCCACATCCAAAAACTTCATCATCGCGGCGTGCAGGATCAGATTCTTTTTGCTGGCCGCAACTGGTTGGCAGCTGGCGCAGGAGTTGCCCTAAGCCTTTTGGCATCAACCCAACACCTAGCTTGCGGACGCCAGTTAGGGTTAGGGCAGGGCCCCAGCTCATGTCGCGTGCCAAGCTCAGCTTAAAACGCGCAAGCTCCATCCATCCGCGGTCAGGGATCTGTCCAAGTCGTTGGCCGCAACTTTGAGCAGCCACTCGCCCCTTGCGTTGGCTTGCTAGCAGACCGCTCCACCGGCTCCTTGAGAAGCTTGGACGCCTCTGGCGGTTGCTGGGCGGTTGCCACGGCCATTAACTACTTGTGGAATTTGTGGAATTTAACAACAACTTATGAACTAAAAGTTCGATCAGAAGCAATTACGAGATTTACGTAACTAACTCGCAGTTGAGAAGTTATGACGCGTTAGAAACGATTCAATTTTTTGCTTGCGGCGCTCGCCCACAGCAAGTCTTCTGCGGGCGGCGTGGGCTACTAAATCTAACAAACCAACTGTCCGAACTCAACTGACTGAGGCTGTTACCTCTTTGAGTGAATGATGGAACATTATAGGACCGGATAACCCCACATGTTACCAGTAACATCTTTACCACAGACAACCTCTGAAGAAGCAGAAGCGCGGTGAGAAAAGAGGGGTAGGAAGAGAGTGAGCGAGCGGGGCTGGCCCCTGGAGAGCGCCAAGCCCTGCGCCTGCCACGCGAATCACAACGGCACAGCGGCGGAGACCCGACGCCAGTGTGGGTGAGAGTGAGAGTGAGTGTGAGTGTGAGTGAGCGTGGAGTGTGAGTGAGTGTGAGTGAGAGTGAAGTTGGGTGTGAGTGAGAGTGAAGGTGAGGGTGAGAGTGAGAGTGAAGGTGAGGGTGAGAGTGAGAGTGAGTGTCAGTGAGAGGAGTGTGAATGTGAGTGCGAAATCTGCTTTTACAAAGCACTGTGCCTGCCGCGAAATCTGCACTCCGAGCTTCACAAAGTGCTGCGCCTGCCACGAAATGTGCACTTCTTTACATATTGCGCAAGATGCGCAGCACTCGCGCAACACATGTGCTAAGCAAATATAGAAATAGCAATGTAGAGGATAAGCAACAGGTTTTCAAATAGCCTAAAAATGGAAAAAGGGTCTCATGGTCTCAAGAAAGCTAAAGAAGTACAAAAATATAATGGGGAACACGGAGAACATGTAGATTAAAGCAAATCATATGCTGCATGTTTCTTGGGCATCAACCCCGATGGTTGCAGCATTGTAGCCCAGCGGCCATGGAGCTGCAACTGGCCATAACTGATAGGAGTTTTTGCGATTTCGTTGGACTTCTGGACTATAGACTCTTCTCTTTGCCTTGTTTCTTCAATCCTTTTTATGGAGAATGAAGACTTTTCAACCTTCACCTGTTGTCCATGCTATTCCAGAATCATTATATACATACTTAGGCGCAGCATGGCTTCATCCACCAGCACCACACGTGCGAATTGCTTCCACTTGCGCCTGGCCCGGATTTTCGGAGCCGTGCCTCAGCCACTAGACACGATTGCAAACGCTGAAAGCAAGGATGGCCTCCAACCTACTACCGATGGCCTCCAACCTAATAGCGATGGCCTCCAACCTGAGGAATGGCCTCAGCAATGGCCTCCAACCTAGAAGCGATGGCCTCCAACCTACTAGCGGTGGCCTCCAACCCAAGAGGAGTGGCCTCCAAACCTAATAGCGATGGCCTCCAACCTACTAGCGGTGGCCTCCAACCTACTGTGATGGCCTCCAACCTACTAGCGGTGGCCTCCAACCTAAGAGGAATGGCCTCCAACCTAATAGGGATAGCCTCCAGCCTACAAGCGATGGCCTCCAACCTAATAGCGATGGCCTCCAACCTGCTAGCGGTGGCCTCCAACCTACGACGAATGGCCTCCAACCTAATAGGGATGGCCTCCAACCTACTAGCGATGGCCTCCAACATACCAGCGATGGCCTCCAACCAATGGCCTCAGCAATGGCCTTCAACCTAGAAGCGATGTCCTCCAACCTACTAGCGGTGGCCTCCAACCTAAGAGTCTTAGCCTAAGAGGAATGGCCTCCACCGTGATAGCGATGGCCTCCGAACTAGCAGCGATGGCCTCCAACCTACTAGCGACGGCCTCCAACCTGTTCCAGGTTAGAGAAAAACAAGAACGTTGGTCCTGTCTGAGCTTTAGCTATTCAGCGCCCGGCACTTGCACAGTGATTCGCAAGAGCAACAGCTCGTATTCGTCGCCATTTTCTCACAAGATGTCGGGCGCGCATAGCAATCTTGAAAGGATTCGCAATAAATCATTCCGAGTCCTTCCAAATCGTCTAGGGTCTGGTTCCCCTTTCATCCATTTGCTGCACCCTGGCCTGCAGACTCAGTGTCCTGATACTCGATTCCTGCCAGCTGCAAGCAAACGATCTGGTTAAAAGATGCTATTATGGTCAATTTGCAGAAGACTCTGACCAGGTTAGGTGGTTGCTGTGTCTGAGGGCGTTGCCCCCATGGTAGCGAATCTCGCAACGGACCTGGCAGCACAGAAAAAGATAGAATAGGATAGAAAGAGCACGCTATGGTGCGGTGCACTACCAAGGCGACAAGCAAAACCCTCATGACTTAGGCAGCTGCAGCCAAACACCCCACAACTTCCAGGGCCCGGGTCAAGTTCGATCACACGAACACGCCTCTTCACCTCCTTCAATTTCCTTACCCGAGACATCCCGAGACCATTAGTATATGGGGTTCCAAATTCCAAGCAAGTCCGATGCGAACAAAAATCTGTCAGGACTGCTTGAGGCCCAGGTGCCCATGAACAATGCCGATGGCCCAGGCCCAGTGGAAATGAATCGAGGGAAAACAAAAGTCACTGAGACTCAGCAAGCTTTAGGCAAAGGTCCTATCTGAAATTCGCTCTCCAATAATCTATTCATTCCACTGAACATGATGTGGATTATCTACACTTGGAAATCAACAAAGAAGAAACGGCAACAGGACTCACTGTATTTAAACACCATAAAATGTTCACTGAATGTTTCAATGGTTGGCCAGCACGTCTGGACATCAGTCTCTTCTCATGTTCAGCCGCCTTGGAAGCCATGGCCACATTCACGAAATGAACACCTTCAATGCTTTTTCTATGCTTCCTATCTTTCCACCATGTGTTGCCCCGGAGTGTTGCCCCTAAGGGCCTATGTCACTTTACAAGACTCCATCATGCTTACGATGCTGTCTTTCGACTTGCTGCAAGCCTTGACAAACCCTGACCTATCAGAATCTACTGTTGGAGCGGCTACTGCATTTAGATGTTTTTCTTGTCTTCCAAGTGTTTCGTGCTGTCTTTAGCTCGTTCTGAACTTACAATTCCAACCATGCTCTTGAGTTGGGATTGCTTTTGTATACGCTGGATGTGGTCATTTCCACCTGAACTGGGCTGGGGCCTTGGAAATGGCTGGGGCCTTGGATGCCGCAGGCTTCTTAACTCGGAAAACCTTCGTTCACCCAAAACGACCAGACGCATCTCGAGAGTGTACGACCACCCCTTTCAGCAAACTCGGATCGGTGAGGATCATCATTGGTGTCGCCATGTAAAAGCTACTGTAGCGTCCTTGTTCCTAGTACGGCCAGGAGCCCCTAGTAGCGTCCTTGCTCCTAGCGATGCCCTTTGCTCCTAGTAGCTTCTTGTTACTCCAAAAAAAGGAGCGTTTCTTCACAAGGTCCGGTCCACTGCAGAAGAAAGAACAGCATTGCAGGTAGTTGATCGTTGGCAGTGCAAGATTTATGTGGCATTTTGTACGGGTTGAACTAAGAAAACGCCCAACATCCACTGGTCATGGCAGCAGTGACGGCTCCGGAAAGCATGTCCAATCATGCCATGAAGGAAAAAACGAAAACACTAAACCTCCTACCAGCGATGGCTTCCAACCTACTAGCGATGACCTCCAACCTAAGAGCGATGGCCTCTCTCTTTGAACATCTTTGAACCCTAGGTATTCTGGGGCCATCTGGGCCGCCTCAAATGGTCTAAATCTCACAGCCCAACCTGACATGCCCACCTGCCCAGCATTCTGGTCGCTACTGTCCAGGGTGAGACGTCAAAAGCGTCGGCTTTTGCCATGGAACCCACGCCCTTTCACGCTCACTTGAACTCACTTGGATCGCCTTAAAATAGGTCCTAGTCGGGCTTCGGCAACCTGAGTTTCCGCAAACAACACCTCGAGAGAAACCAAGTGGGCCCGGTGGAACATTAGATTCAGACCAGTGGCTTGCAACCAAGTGGGCCATTGCCACCGCACATTTTATTACTGGCCTTGAGCACAGCTTCATTGCAGAAATGGAATCTTCCCGCTTCAGTCATTCCAAACTTAGTGCTCACTGAGAATCCTGTCTACTGTAGCATGTCCCAGTGCTCACAGTACCACCACATCTGAACAAACTTGTAACTATTGCGCCGCAAGTGCCACCCAGTGACTTTGTTCAGGAAGCCACACGGGCATGCCTTGGAAATATGTGTTGGTCTTGGCCTTCACACCTTCACCTACTACAAACAAGCCAAACCTTGTTTTCTTCTCTTGTGGTTTCAAATGCACAACGTCCTTCCGGTGTTTCTTTCGTTCTTCCTTTTTCTTTTCTGTCGTGTTCTGATGTCTTTTCCTTTCTTGCCTATTGTTGTCTCTTCTTTTCTTTCTTCAAACCTTGGGACTTTGACTTTTCATGTTTTCTTTTCCTTTACTGTTGTTAAGTGTCCTTTTCTTTGGACCTTTCTTTCTTCCTTCCTTCCTTCCTTTATTTCTTTTTGTCCTTCATTCAAACACTTCGGAAACCACTACCTACTACCTCCTTGTAGAAAGTAGCATGATCAAAGCGTTCACGTCCCAGCGACCCACTGCGGCAGCTTCGCCCTCAGAGAATGATTGGCAGGTTGAGATGGGTTGATCGTGCTTATTGATTCTTAGGCCCGACTGGGTCCCTCGCTAGTAGGTTGGAGGCCATCGCTAGTAGGTTGGGGGCCATCGCTCTAGGCCATTGCTAGTATGTTGGAGGCCATCGCTAGTAGGTTGGAGGCCACCGCTAGTAGGTTGGAGGCCATCGCTAGTAGGTTGGAGGCCATTGCTA